TTTTGAAAACTACTTATGGATTAAAACTTTTGATTTTCCTCAACTGAAATTGGTTTAAGCATTTTGAGCTGCAGAAACTGTAGCTACTCAGAATGATCGTGGCGCGTATTTACACATTCACTAGTTTCGCAGTGAAAAAGTGTGTGTAGCGGTGACGGCAATGTGAGAAACTAAATGAAATGGATTGCGGTTGAAACATCAATATGTATATACTTCATATATATTTTGAAATGGTAAGCTTATTCCATGCTCTCACCCTTGTGCACATCACTGCATCGAAAAAATTAAGAAACTGTTCATATGGAAGTATCAGAGATTGGTCCTCCGTTAGACATTTATAGAAGTGTTTCGCAATTCAAATTTCACATCAAAATTGCACACATCGAACACCGAGTCTGAGAGCACAGTACCGCCGAAAGACAATGCCTTTCAATCTCTGGTATATCAATTTCGATTCCAATTGTTGTTATTTGTCTCAAATGAACGATGATATCAGATTTTTGGTATTCACATTAGATCTAACAAAATTCGATCGGAGAAAATGAAATGTTGCCTCCCTTTGTTTTTATTCCCATCCCCCATCCATCCATCTTCAAAAAATAGAAAACAAATTCTCATCCGTTTCGCTCAACATTTCGAATTGCGAGCACCGAGAGTATGCCATGATGTAAATGAAGATTATCCCCAAAGTTAACCACATCAAATGAATTTTAGGATTGTGAGACAGATAGATACAGTAGTCACAAACTACTACACATTTGCTATCATCCTTTAATCCATTTTGCTTGTCTGTTTATCATCTGAAATGGAACACAGAAAACAAAACAGAAAGAAAAAAATTGTAAAATAATCGACTTAGAATCCGAGGAATTGTCCGTAATTGATATGGCGTTTCAAGTTAAAAGTAATTTATGCATTCTATTTTGGAAGATTGATTTAGCTTTAGGATCATGTGGCTTTCCACGTTCTACTCAACTCGATGTTGCTCGAGTTTTACTGCTGTTATTGCCGTTGCTAAAGCCAAGTACTTGAGCGAATCGCCCAGAGTTGCTTGTTCCTCAGCAACGTTCATCATTAATTAACAACATTTAGAGCTATTACTAGGATTAAAAGTCAGCCAAATGCCAAAATGTTAGTAGCTAGTTTAATTAGTTTTTAAACTTCACAAGATCGACTCATTCGATAACAATATAAACAAAGAGTCAACACATTTGCATTTTTTTCCTTTCTCTTCAAAATGTCCATGCACAAATGGATGTAAATGCCATCGTATTACGTAAATGCTGTTGTGGTCATTTCCTCTGTATCGTACATTCTGAATAATTTACTAAGTTTTCATCAAGTGGTCATAATTAATTAGAGTGACATTATTTTAAATTTAAGGTCCCAATGCAATGCCACCACCATAAGCATGTATATGCATTGTGTGCGGTTTTCAATTTCTTGAATTCTGTCATAGAGACGGGTCAGATAATCACATTTCCATCCAACACATGCAAACCGACAAACATGACGAATTATTTTATATATTTACGTATACATGCACGGCATGCACGGTTGAATTCCCGTTGAGACTCATTCAAACAAATTGGAAAGTGTGGTTTATTCCAAGAAGATTGAATAAAACGCTTGCCGTTGCGATTTCAAATAAAAAAAGCAGCGATGAATTCACCACAATATAATTTGGATATTTGGATTGAGATGCCAAAGATTTTCTCTTTTCATATTCTCCATCAAATGGAAGTTTGTTTGATTCGAAAAAAGAAACCATTAATTTGATTGAATTCACAACGTCTCGTCTGATTTATAGCTGAAAAACGTTTACGGTGTTCAGTTATTATATAAATCTGTTTCTTGTATACCGTAAACATAAAAAAAAATCGTATAAAAAAGTAGAAAATCAAAATGTCACTCGAAAAAAGGAAAAGTGCGAACAAACCCAAAGTATCAATCATTTACCGCAAAAATACGTTACAGATGAAATTTCAATTCAATCGTATGAATCAAAATTGAAGAGAGATTGATTTCGCATTAGCCACGAGCAGAAGATTGATTTCAAGGCCTTTTAAATCGAGAGCACCGCATTTCATCGTTAGAAAAACCAATTTTCAACCAATCCATCGTATTGCAATCTTAAAATGATGGACTAAAATGAATAGAAGTAATAACGAATCGATAAAGACATCGTTTGTACGTTGATAACGCTTCGAAGAACGTGGAACGTTTTTTTTCCCGTTAATTGAAGACCCGTTTTTTGTGTGTGCAGTTTCAACACGTTTTAATGAATATTTGATGCGAAAACATTTCTTTATTAACAAACGTGAATTTAATTTGAAGTAAAACTGCAGTTTCTCCCTTCTTTTTTCTTTTCACACAGTAAATTTCATGATATGCACAACTCGCGAAGACTTGCGATTTCATCGAAAAGTATTTGATGGTTTTTCTTTTCTCTTCATTAATTTTAATCGTTATTTATGACATTTTAATGATGATTATTGTTTGGATAACTTGCATTTGCTAAGTGAAATGGTGTATAAAAATTATACGGACGTGCAAGTTCAAACTGCAAACAGCATTCTCAATACAGACGCGCGCGTGTGAAAGAGAGAGAAATACGATAGAATTGTTTGCTGTAAGCCAAAAACTGATAATTATTACGAGCAAAGAAAAACAACGACTGCATTTCATTCGAATGGCGCAGGAAGTGATTATTGCATTTTCATTTATATTCGTATTCGTATTTATATTTATAGCTGTTTATAGTTTGAAAATGATGAGAAAAAAAAATTGGAATCTGTCGTAAAGTGAATTGTTATTACAGTTTCACGAACTTTCTGCACTCGATGGAAAACCGCATAAAGATCGGTGAAAAAAAAATCGCGCATTGATCGTGAATATATATATTTTTGCTCCCTTTATTTCGATTTCTCGCTACAGTCAAGTCGTGGTCTTTCTCTATATTTCCATTTGGTTTTGCAACTAGTTTGATTTTAGCATCGATCCCAAATGATGGCGTATGAAAGTTTTTGCAAAAGAAATGGTAAAAAGTTTCGAAATATAAATTGCAAAAGCATTTAATGCGAATGTGCATGGTGTGCAGCTATTAGCATAGTTATTCAGTTTTAAAAGCGACGACCAACCGACAACGAAACAGGGGGTGAGACAACGACAGAGAGCAAGAGAGAAAATAAGCGTCATTTGTAAGTTGAATTGAAAAGTTTCGATTGAAATAAAAGTCAAAATGCATAATGTAATGATGCAGCAGCAGCAGCAGATTCACTGCTTCAACATTTACCTGTGTTCACATTCGCACAATTCAATATATTTCATGTGCCAACACACACACTTCTCGTTTACCTGTTTGTGAATTGAATGAGAGTGTTAGAGAGAGCTTATGCGTTCGGAAATCATATCCCAATCGTCTTTGGTTGCTAATGCCATTGCTGTATTATTCTCTCGTTTTTTTCGGTGTTCTGTCACCAACTTTTCTAATACGTTTGCAATGAGCACAGTGATACTTATGTAACATGTTCGTTTTGCAGTTGGTGCTGTCTCTGCTGCGCCCTTGCCCACTTGCCACTACTAATGCTAATGTGACCAATTCGTTTTCGTTTCTATTTCACATTTGGTCTTTTTGTCTTCGTTTCGCCATATCCAATTTATTCACCATGATGGTTTACAGCGAACATTGAGCTCTTTTCGCTATGGCATTCAGTTCGGTTTTAGTTGCAACGTGCTGAGATGTACTTTACATGGATATGAATTTGTTCGCATGATACTCTATTCTATTTTTTTGGTTTATTTTTTCCCATACATTGTGTCTGTTGAGTTTTTTTTTCTTTCTCGTCTGCCATTCGTATTAGAGCCGATGATTCGGCTCCAAGTGCACACGACAAGTAACTGTGATGGCAGATGAATGGTGTTTTGTTATAAGGTTTCCCATACACGACACAATGACATTAAAATTCAACTTTAAACCTCTCTTCAACTTTAC